TCGCTGAATATTTTGAGATACACTTAATTGTGTAACGGAAATGATACATACCACTTGATCAAGAGTTCCATTGCCGAAAACTGTCGAATTCTGCGGCAGTTTCACTTGGGTGTCATTGATCGTGACAGGTTCCTCTCCTAAAGTTTCACTATCCTCCTTGGAAACTCCCATCGACAAAGATTGTGTCTCAATTTTTGTGGCATCTTCACCTTGAACTTTGGATGCTATCAGAGCTTGCGACAAAGTATCCAGAGTACCAAGAACTTTTTCTAACTGAGCATTATTTTTGGGCTGTCCTTTCTCAGTGGACGTCTACAAATAATCAAAAACAAGGTAACATTTCAATTAAAAGTGTCCTGTGCGGCGACATCCCTACAAAGATGTTTCCTTTAGGTGAATCTAACTCATCCAGGTTATTCCCAAATGTGAGCTTTTACCTAATTAATTTTTTTTACAATTGCATGAGCATCAGCGTTCTACGCCAGAGATCTCCATCGCAGTCTGGTTGTTGTCAAATCTCAGTGGAAAGAAAAAACAATTGCGGTGTATCATATCTGTCAGAGCCATGAGGCACATTTACGAGGGAAGTTCTTAATCACAAAAGAGATTTAACGGGACAGCTTTTCGAAATCTAGGATATTTTACGTTTTAACCAAATAATCAGGGAATTATCGAAATACTATCATGACGATTTTTAAACTTCAAAAGAACTTTAGGAGAGAGAGAAAGGTTTGGATCAATGGTCAAACGAAGTAAGAAAAAAACAACACCTTCCCTGATTACTTTCGATACTCCGTGGACAAAATGGCCTTTTTCTGGCCATGATATCATTACCTCATCTTTCTGCTTTACATCCGCGGATTTAATGATATTTACCGCTCCACCAAATACTGCTGTGGAGGCTTCTTCAATCTCTTTGCTAGATGCTCCATCGCCACCAGTAGCTTGTGCCAAGATCGCTTTACTTGCATCATTGTAGAGGCTGGAGACCTTTTCCTGGTTTCAATTAAACAACATTACAAAAAACAAAAACAAACAAACAAACAAACAAAAAAAAAAACAGAAACAAATGTTAAACCGTCACGCTTGTTACAGTATGGCCACATTAACACAGGACTCGGATTTTCTGAGCGATGAACTGTCAACTTACCACCACCTTGTCTGTATTCTGTTCGGGTTTATTTGTTACTGCCGTGAGAGTGCTGGCAAACTGAGCGACGTCTGATAAGCTCGTGTCATCGGACACTTTTGCAGAATCAACCACAGCTATAGCAAGTTTCTCTCTCAGCTGAGGACGAAATTAAAATGATACCGTCAAAACACCTTGACTGCCGAAGGAGGGGGGAGAAAGCCTGGGATTTCCCAGCACCCTGTTTAGGGTTGAGAAGTGGTAATACTTATACTCGTTTTATGCTACATGCTCGTAAGACGTGACCCACTTAAAGGGTCTAGTCATGTACAGTCCATCCTCGATGAGGTATCTACATGGTCTGCTAATATTAAGTTCCAACTTCACCCCAGTAAATGTAATGAGCTTAGGATAACCTTTGCGCGCTCTCCGACAAAATATGAACTTGTGGAAATCACCGGTTGTGAAATTCATACAGTACAAGTAGTTAAGTTATTGGGCGTTTATATTCAAGAAGACCTTAAGTGGAATACTCTTGTAAGAGAAATGACAAAGAAAGCTGCCAAACGCCTATATTTTTTAGTGCAACTAAAGCATGCCAAAGTTCCACCTGAAGAACTACTTCAGTTCTACGTTGCTTGCATTCAATCTGTTTTACTTTATGGCTGCCAGGTTTTTCCTTTTAGTCTTCCAAAATATCCAACCTTAAGTTTTGAACGAATACAGAAACGTGCTCTTAGGATAATTTTCGGTTACGAAGTGTATTATGCAGATGCCCTGGCACGTTCAGGCCTCGTTACGTTAGAGCAAAGAAGGACGGAAATATGTAAAAAACTTTTTAACAAAATTGAAGATAACCCCCTTGATGTTGTGTACCCTCTTATTCCTTTCGATGAGAGACCAACTCAGGACCTCAGGAATGTTAGACCGTACCGTGTAAAGCCATCTAAGACCAATAGGTGTCGTGACACTTTTATTAACACATTTGCAGTTCTTTTTTAGCAATTCAACTGCGCTAATTCTAAAATTTTTTATTCGTATTCGTCGTCGTAGGATTCTTATCATAAGCATGCAAGTAATTTTGTGATTATATTTATAAAATTTCCCCTTCTATACATTGTAAACCTTAGCAATTCAGTCCATGCTGCTATTAAGGTATTGAATAAACCATTCTTCTCTCTCTTTCTTTCTCTCTCTCTCTCTCTCACTGAATAGATTTAATATATATCTTACTTTACATGGGGTAAGTGAGCACAGAACACGTCATTACAATGGAATGTGCTGCACAAAAAACCAATCATCTTAGGGTAATCTTAAAACGTGAAAATGTGAGTTTGGAATTGTGCCCACAGAAACTAGTTCGATTTTTTAGGTTTTAAAAACTGAAGCGTGTAAACATTAGCTAGGTGACATGTATGTTAACTTAGTTGTCTTTCCCAAGTAAAAAGCCCCACAGCATTAATTAGGTTAAGCATAAAAGCAACTAAGAGTGAGAAAGAACAAGGTCGGCTAAAACGATCACCAAACAATTGTAACACACAATAAAGAAAGCATTTCTCATTGAGTTAAACATTTCATCTCAACATCATCAACATGGTGACCCGAAACCGAATAAAATACGAGGTCTTCTCCCTCTAGACATAGCATAGATACGCAATTTGAACAAATTTAAAGCAAAAATAGGTACGCAAGACGTGCGAATTTAAGTCAAATTTAAGTCAATGTCAGTGTAGCCGTGACACACCTCTAAAAGATGAATTTATGTATCCTATTAACCAAGCGCGAGAGCCGTACTGGGAAAATATCGGCCTGAGGTCTTGACAGTACGGACCGAGCGCAGCGAGGTCCGTACAAAAAAGACCGAGGGCCGATATTCTTCCAGTACGGTCCCGAGCAAGCTTGGTTAATAAGAGATTTATTATACGACTGAAGTTCAAAGGGAGACAAGTGCGGTATCATTCGGGACCATTCGGGACAGTGCCCGGTCCAATACTGAGAGAATATGGACCGGCAATAGAGCATTTTGATTGGTTGATTTTAGTTATTGGCCCTCTGACTGCCCGAGTCGTGTAATAAATCTCGTTATTGCATCGTCCTATTCAGTCCCAGGCCTCTGAGGTATGAGGGATCATTGTTTTTCTTCTTCGACTTAATTTAGATCATCATAACAATCGAATAACATAAGAACTGGGAAAAATTAGATATTTAATTCATACCGCCTAACGCTAGCTAAATCCTTGAAAAGGCCGTAATGGTTACTTACCTTTTCGCTTTCTTCCTTGTCCTCTGTGCTTACAGATTTATCGTCAGATGAAGTACTCTGATCGTTCAGTACTTCAGCGAGACTTAACACAAACGATGCAGTCTCCCTTATATTTCCACTGCTTATCATCGACTCAAGCTGCTCGTTCGCCTTGTTCTGAAGTTCTTTGACGTTTATTTCTTCTTTTTTCACCTGCAAAATGACGAAAATTAAACAGTAAGAACTCCTCTCATTTTATCATCGCTGATCGTAGCAGTTTACAGGACGTGTGTCACATTTGGATCTAGCAATGGCTCGACTCACTGTACTGAGAGTACCCTGGGGTTTAGGGTCTTTGAGAGTGAAGTCTCGTTTTACACTACTGCGTTCTTTTCAAGGAAAGGCATTTCACAGTCTCCTTATTTTTAGTCCAAGCCTAGAAATTAGTTTGCAGCTCAACTTACTTCCACAGTATTACTAAATTCGACCGTCGTTGAGGCTCCCAGATTGTCAGTGACCTTGGCGTAAAGATATAATTTGGAATCGTATTTTTCAAGACCATTGGGAAAGATGACTTTCTCGCGGGAATCTTCAAGTCCGCTTCCTAAACTTTTGTTCTGTCCTTTGGGAGATGTCGAGTAAAAGAATTCGTAACTTAACGGCTTCTCCTCATCTGTAAATCCTTCACATTTTAGAGTAAACTCGGTTTCTAAAGGCTTCCCCGAGGTTGGCGAAGCTTTACAGTTTCCTCTCTGTGGAGGTGCGTTGATTGTTAGTTCAAGCGTAGAGGATCCCTCTTCTCCACCTTGAATTTTGCCATATAGTCTGATTTTGTAATCGTTTCCGCCTACAAAACAAAAAGATATTACCATCCCTCATCAAGACAGGTTTTAAGTTTCTGTCAAAACCTTGTGAGTATTAGGTACGTATTAAAACCGTGATTGTAGTTTTAGCTCTGAGAACGAAGATCTGAGCGTAATTTTCTCTCTTCTAGCTGCGATAAATTTCCCTGTAAACTAGCGAAGAGAATTTGGGGTGACATCAAGACCTTTTGCAGTAATACCTTCTGCTACCATCGTTATCGTATTAACTGCTAACATTTTGATTTCGCGGCAAACGGGACTCTGAGTGTGATGCTCGGAATTTTACGAAAAATATCTGTGAGTCTCTTGGCTCAAACTTTTCTCTATGGCCAAATAAAGGTCTTTTCATTCGCAGAGTAAGATATTTACCTTTGTTCGCAGTATACCATAGAATACACAAAACTATCAGGCCGATGACCTTCTAAAATTAAAATATTTCATGCACATTGTTATCGCAGTGATTTTAAAATTTGGCGTTCAAGGACATATTTTATAGTCTGGCGCGAAAGGTATCTAAAGTAGTCGCAAAGCGTAATAAGTAGAAAATGCAAAGCAATTTCGCGCACATGTAGACGTAATTAGTGACAGTCGGTAAGCAAGCACTAAATACTTACTCGATGCTTAAAGTTGGAGGGCTACCCGGTTTGACTTTTATCTTCTGATCTGTGAACGAGGTTCGATTATCTTTGGTGATCACGAATCTTATAATGTAGGTTGTGTTGGGTGTCATTTTCGTCGTGTTCAACACAACTTGCGCTGTACTAAAGTTAAGTTGCCCTGGTCCGTATCCGAAACAGCCCCCTAACTGTGGCACTGTGGAGTCGTTTGCAGTGATGTTTTGCTCAGGGGTGGTGGGAATAGGTGGTAAGTCTCTTAGATTTGTAGGTAATGTATAACTTTTGTCTACGTCCTCATTTTCCCTTTTACAAAACCAAGCAAACTTGCAGTTGCACCTCTCAACATTTAATGTGTTCCCCGCCTCCGTGGTGTCAGGATCATGTGATTTCTCGGCATTTAACGTCAAGGGATCTTCATTACCCGCAGTCCTTTCTGTACCTCCCTCGATGAGAGCCACGAGATTCGTCTTTGTGATCTCGATGTAGAATTTCTCTGTTGTGTAAACGCCTGGTTCGGCCAACATGTTGATGCTAAATTGAAGTTCATATAAGCCGTAATCTAATTTCCTTGGTGGGATTATTAAGTCTGGTCTGTCGAAAGGAATGCCCTCTAGCTGGCCAGGGGAGTCGGGTAATTTAGTCATATTCCAATAGTACTCGGTCGAGAAGTTGTAACATTTCAGAGTATTTACTGTTTTTATTTCAATTTTCTCTGACTTATTGAACTTTGTCCCACTTTTTTTGCTAACTCCAATTCCCGGAGCAGTGATTTTTGGAAAGGCGCACTCCCCCTTCACGATGGCGGCTTTTGTTTCCTCATCCTTTTCTATGGTGACACAAGATACGCGATTTTTGCCTGTAAACCTGACCCAGTAAGGTTTTGCTTCTTCATAAATGTGGTGAAAACTGGAATAGTTTTCAAAATTTTTAGCAGAGCCATGGCAATTTTTGCCCTCACCAGTTTTGTAATAATGATGTTTTTCGTCTTCCAGGTCGATATCAAAACAAGAATCGTTTCCTTTTTGTTCCATGCTCAGGGTAAAATTAATGCGTTTACCCATTTCCGCCGGTCCATCATTTCTTAGTTTCACCCCAAGTATACTCTCATGAACGATGATGTTCTGTTTCGCAGTCTTGTTACTGACATCGTTTTTGGCTATGAGTACAATTTCATGATTGCCCGTGGAATTAAATTTTCGACGACAGCTTATTCCACTGACTTCCACATCGTCTGACAGAAAACGCCAGCTGTAGGTTACATTAGTGCCATTTGTGATGGAAGAGTTAAAAAAGACGTCGTATTCTTTGGGAAATGTTGCCTCATCAGGCGTGAAATTCTCGGAGCAGGTATCGATGAATTTTGTCAAATGAGAAAAAAACCTGAGGCCGTGGATCTTATCTTGAATTCTTACTTCAACAGATGCATTACCACAACTTATCTCGTTGCACACGTTCACCGTGGCAGTATACACGCCTTGCCTAGGATACTGGTAAACCGTACCATTCACATCATGTGATTGTAAGGTTTTGAGAGGCTGAGTTTCATTATCTCCGAAGTCGTATTTCACTTTGAGCGGTGCAGAAGCATTGTAGCCAGGGAAGTGGAAAAAGAAATGTACTTTCCCTGGATTGGAGGGCTGAGGTGAATTGGACGTAAGCAGCACTACGTCAATTGGATATTGGACGATAATTCTACACGCGTTTGTAGGATTCTCCTGATTTCTGTTGGATAGCTTCACAGTGATTGTATATGCTCCTTCAATAGCGTAAGTGTGATTGGCAACCGTTCCATTTATTGGGAATTCCCGTTGATGATACATGGTTTTCGACGTTCCGTCTCCAAAGTCAAACACAACGTTCACGTTGGTGCCGTTGACTATGTCAGCGGTTGCCGTGACTGAGTCATTTACTGCAATGTACAAATCCTGGCATGGGCCACCCTCAGAAATTTGTAAAGAGCCTCGTTTTATTGCAAGCACTAAGTGTGTTACAGGCGTCTCAACATAAACTGTGGCGTTTATCCACTGGCTATCCACAAGATTGCTAACCGTGATATTGACGAGATATTCTCCTGGGGCAGAGTAATTGTGAAGGCTAATGGCGACCAAGATGTCTCCAACTGAGATGTTGTTTTCAAAAGGCTTTGACTCGCCATCACCGTAGTCGACCAAAATGGAGATTTCACTTCCTTGATTCAACTTCCAGTGCACACGTGCTTCTTCCATTACGCCCACCTCGTGTCTGAAGCTCCTAAATTCCAGGCCTTCGATGACATCTTGAACGATAAGCTCTGCACAGCGCACCACGACCGAGCTGATTTCATTGGAAGCGATCAAGGAAACTTTGTATCTTCCTGCCTTTCTATACACATGTGGAATGACTTTATCTGAGGTGTTTATGGTGGTTCCGTCCATCGCAAGTAGGGTATAACGGGCCAATTCTTCACCTTGGTGGGGCAAAATGGTAAAATTAAACGTCTGATTGGTTCTCAAAATGCCGGGGTGCGTCATCTGTACTCCGTGAACAGCACGTTGCACGCTTAAGTTTCCGCTGATTGTCAGATTGTTTACTTTGTTAGTGGCGGTGATTGACACCAAATACAAGCCAGGAATCGTCAAATTTGTTTTATAAATGGCGAAGAAAATTGCCCCAGGTACTTTGGGGTTGGTGAGATTTGTTGCACGGTTGTCACCTGTGGATGTGATAGTGATATTAAAGTCTACGTGCGACCCGTTACGCAACAGCCAACTAATATTGGCAGTAGTTCCGTTTTCAATTGGAAGCAATGCAGTTTCCCCAAATTCCAAGCGAGCAATTCTCTCTTGAACGACAGTTGTGCACCAAATGGACATCAAGCTTACTTTATTAATTGCCATGACATTAAGAGTCACTGATCCGGTTTTTTTGTAAACGTGCGTTACCCACGGACTTGATGTTGTGGCATTTTCACCATCGCCGAACTCCCAGAAGTAGGTTACATTAGTACCGTGAACTATTTCCGCTGTTACATTAAAAGTTTCTCCATAAGGGAAAGCAACAGGTAGTTTTAATTGGAAGTCTCTTATGGCCACTTGAAGAGCAACTACTCTTGTAAAGCTCTCTGTTCCGCGAGAGTTTCCCACTGAAAATGAAACAGTCTCGTGTCCAGCCATCTGGTATTGGTGTTCAAATTTAGTCTCAGACACAGCAGAGTACAGAATGGCTATCGCAGGAGCATAATGTAGTTGAGTCGGACTGTCACCTGTTAAAGGAAGGCGATTACTTCGCAGTGTCGTGGTACCATTGATATTTGAAATGTTATACAAGAAGGAGAAACTTTTCGGGCTAGTTTTCAATGCAGCTGCTGGCCCCGTGGAGGGGAAACGTACCCCAATGACGTCACCTTCTTCAACTTGAAGTCGCTGATTTGTACTCTCGATAAGGAAGAGTTTGTGTCCGCTTGTTAAGTATACCATGTAACTTGAGACGTGCTTGTAGTCGAAGTTGACACTAGCTCCATCCATAGTGTTGTTTTCACTACATGACTCGTTGGCGCACTGTCTCTGTTTAAAGCTGAATACGTTTTCACCATTACAAGTATCAGTCTTACCCACTGGGCACGAGGTTGAGTTCACCGTGCTGGTGACACAAATTCTTTTCGCTTGACAATAAAGTTGTTTTTGGTCTTCACATGTTGGTCGATAAATCTATGAAAAATTTGGATAGCACTACAAATTATAACTAGTAGAAAACAATGGAGCATGCTGATTACTGTAAGGGAATCTTAAGTCTTCTTCGCGAGAGATTCAAAATAGCTTCCTCATGGTGAGTTTTCGGAAGACACGGCAGTCTCCTCGTAACCTAATGTTCAAGAGCACGACACTGCTTTATCTCCAATCTGTTGCATGTTCTTCTCGCAACAGAAAAAAAGGAGGTGATTCCCTGTTCTGAGAGAGAAAAAAACTTACGTTTTACATTTTAAACTCTTTTACCCTTGATGTTTAAGTACCTTTAAGTCAAGAAAGCCTCCTTGTTCGACGTCCATTTCTAAGCCCACAACTTCACCTTTGTTTGTAACGTCCATTCCAGCCAACAGGTATAAACCGTTGGAAGTAACTTGGGATTCTGGGTCTGACTCTAAGATGCCTAGTTTAAGGATTTCCGCATCTACATGTGAAAAAAAAAACAAAAAAACGGAGGGACAAAGTGTTTCTAATGTTAATGACTGACTGACTAACTAAAACATGGACTGAGACACTTAGAGCCGGAGGAAGGAAGGATGAAAGAGGGATGGACTGACTGACCGATTGTCTGGCCGTGAAAGTCAACTTATCGGCCAACTACGATTTGAGATGCATACCGAACAAAGGGCTGACAGACGAAGTGAAACACTTGCGGACGCACGGATGCATGGCCTGGCGGAAGAGTGGGTGCTGTAATTGACTTTATCGATCATAAAGATACAATTTTCAATTAACTCTAAGTGACTTATCGATTCTTACCAGGAACTACTGTATTCCGGTCAACTCCATCCTCAAACTGTATCGTGGTTTCTACGTTGGCACCCTGTTTAAATTTCAAGGAACAGCTAAACGTCGTGTTTACTGAACCCACAGATGGACAAAAAAATTCTACTCCTGAAACGTTTGAGGTTGCAGAAACAGTAGTGGAGGACTCAATCACTGTGCGATGTCCGGTATCGCTGTGCTTAGCTATCGCTTTTCCTTGGATGGTGTAGTTTCCTGACTCAATCAGTGCCAGCGTGGCCACAGAATCTGTGGTGTAGTACTCTGTTCCATCTCCTACATTGATAACATAGTACTCAACGATTTGATCCGCTGGTAGCGACGGTGTCATTGTCAGGTTGAAACCTGTAAGCGTCGTAATCGGGAGATCCAATGTTAACGTCAAGCTGTGAGGCTGCACTTGGACCGTCTTGTACACAGATATGTGGGTTTCCCCACCACACTTGAGATTTCCAGCACCGAGGCAGGACGAAAGGCACATGTCTGGAGAAAGTTCTGTTATTGTGGTGGTAGAGTTGCCACAAAGGCACAAATTTCCACTCTTCAGGGCAGCGTACGTAAAGTACAAAGCGCCGCACGAGTGCATACAGAGGCCAGGTGTCATGCTATTAGGTTTATAACCACCAGGATTGAAAATAAAACTCGGCGACACCGCATTGTCCTCCTTGTAGCATCCCAGATGATGACGGACGACTGTTATGAGGTGATAGCATAAACGTTTATTAAATAAGTAGTGACTGTTAACTACTAAAACACACCATGTAAGTAGTACGTATTCTATCTTCTCAAATCACTCAATACCAAACAAATTTATAAGCCCTGAAACATGCAGTTGTGCTCACAGAATCTTTCCTAACCTTTTTTAATATCCGTTTCATTACTTTGAAGCCTTAATACGCCATCCTGTTATTATCAGTGATAGAAATCATCACGTTTGTTTGACGTTTGGAAATCACCTTAAAAAGTTCGGAGGAAACTGGTGTACATGAATACATTTTCCCCCTTTGAGCACCTACCTTGTTCACAGATGTACTTTCCTGGGGTAAGAGAACAAGAAGACTTTCGCCAAGTTCCTTCTACTTCCATCACAACACAGCTTCCCGAAGACCCATTTTTCCACTTGTTGAAGGACAATCCCGAGCCGTCTTTCCAATAGAAGGTACTATCTGTTTGTTCGAGTCCGATCCACGCTTCGCCTCTAGTTTCGTTTTTAACGAACGTGTTTTCTTCTTCGGAAGAAATCTTCACCAAATCCGCTCCTTTGGAAAGACACGAATTTCGCGCTAGCTGGAATGTAAGGTTCCCCGACAATACCTGGTAACAGGAGCCGTCAAAATACGACCAGTCAGAGGCGCAGCCAGCGCGATCTGTAATGGAAATCAGCATCAAAATTTAAAGTAACATTGAAAAGTGAAATTTGAAGGACGTTTACAAACCTATTTAATCCTAAACACGCATATGATCTCTCCGCAGGGAATTACTACTATCCTTGGACTCAAATAAATATTTTGCGCGACGTACTTGTGCATTTATTCACCCGCTTTCGGGCACGCACGCGCGCACGAGAATGAGCACTACCAAGGGGGCAGCTTTCAAATATCGTTAAGAGCGAAATAAGGCTAAATATTTCGCCTTCTCGGTGACCCACAATGTGAACTCATTGTTTACGTATCATTCCTACTTTGGTCCTTCGCCCTTTGAATTGAAATTTCATAATCCCTCTTGTCGTTTATTTCATAGGGCAACTTTTGGTGACTTCAACACGCGAGGACGTCAAACAAGCTGTAAATCGATTGGTATCGCATGGGGTATTTTTCATTCTCACCGTTACAAACGTGTAGATTCGACATTTTCTTTTCTATGATTTCCTCTTTCCACACCGCAACGTCTCTTATCAATGCCTTGGCATAGGCGTCACCTTTGTCACCCGTGCGACCGATCGTGAGTAACGCGTGATGGTTTGATGACGGCGTGACGATCTTTCCAATTGGGTCACGCAAGACACTGACGGAATCTTTGTACACCATAGCGGTCAAACCATTCTGCTGGCTCCAACTCATTGCAAATGTTTGCCATTTGTTTTTCTCAAAAGATCCCTGAACCTTCCAGATCTTCTGTCCATCACGGAGATTAAAATGCATGGCAGAGTCCACATAGTAGATGGAAAAACCATTTGAGCTTTGCCCACCGGATGATAAGATGTAACCGGTACCATTTCCCGAGATACTTGCTTTAAAGCTTACAGAAATCCCATTCAGACACTGCGATGGACTGTTAACACAGCTTTCTTTACCACTTTCTTTAAAGTCGAAATCTACCCAGTTTGAGCCAGTGAGAGAGAGGGAAAGTGGTGCGAAGCCTTGATTAGAAGGTCCGGCTTGTAAGGACCACGAACCGTGTATCTTTCCCGTCAGAGATCCACCACCATTTATATCTTGTTGATAGATTGTGGACTTGTCAATTGGCCAGTAGTGAGAAGCATCTTTGTAACAATGATCTGAAAATGTGAGAGATGGACGTGTAGAAGTCATGACTAAATTAGTGCCTAGTAAAGACACCAAAATCACCATTTAAAACTAGGGGAAATCTTGACTTATATGGAAGCCTATTTCCTTGACTTCCAATGTCTGATTGTTAATTTTCCTCTCTAGCTGCTACACATTTTCTTGGAAATTAGCAACGAGAATTTGGCGCGAGATCAAGATAACAAAATTCTACCTGTTAGGTCTGAGTATTCTCGTTACCTGTTTTCTGGATAATGTATGGATATTATGGGGAGAAGTTACATGCTAATCAGTCCCGGGGGTCAAAGGGTATCTATTTACTTACCGACACGCGCACAAACTTGAAACTTGGCTGATGAACTTGTCGCGGAGAAGAAAACGTATTTGATTTTAACTGGCTGTGCCTCTCTCCAAAACAGATAAACCTACAAAGGCAAACAAGAAGAAAGATAGGAATTAAAAATCTGATCTTAAACAAAACCCAGAAGGCGCTCACGAAATTTGAAATCCGGAGGTTCCCGGTTCAATTCGTACATCTAACTTTTTTCACCTGCCCCGAATTAATCTCCTTCGTTGCGTTTTTCAAACGGCTTACTGATTCGCTATCAAGTGGTTAGAAAAAGTAATTTGAGAGCAATTTGGTTTTCAAGCAGGTTTTTTCCTTGTTTGCACTTAGCAATTACATCATCATTGTACAATAATGCATTGATAAACATAACGTTTTTCAGATCGCAGTTAGATGTGTTTTAGATTAAATCAGTAGAGCTTGCAGATATGACACCAAAATTAACAGAAATTTAAAATTTTGAGTGGAGAAGTATGAAAATGCACAGGATCGCTTAATCAAACTGAAGTTTGATTACTGGCTTGAATATCTCGACTTAGTTCTTTTTTAAATGTCTTCATGGTCATATTTATCTAGCTCGTTCATTTAATTGCTGTTTTTCCCTTGTTACGAGTCAGACGCGTCAAGCGTGCTCAGGGCTGAACTTAAAGATTAATAAAAATCGTACATCAACATTTCGGGATTTCTATTTTGATAGGATAACAAATTTGTGGAACAATATACCTAATGACGTTAGGCAGGCTGAGTCTATCGACTCTTTTAAGCGTAAACTTAAGTCGTTTTATTTCAAGAGACTTCTCAACGTTTTTTTGATGGCAACAGCTTTCGTAGCTCTAATAATTTGTCCTAAATGTCGCCGGGTACAAATGAGACCCTTGTTGCGCGCACTTGTTAAGCAGCCTATGTAGTCTATTTAACAATTATTCGCCGAAGGCGAGGTGAATAATTATTATAGTATAAATTCAGAGATGAACAACAGAGAAATTTCTAAAATCATAATATTTTAGTAACATTTATAACATTTTACTTTAACATTTTATATAAACCGCGTGGAGCGGTTTATATAGCGTCATATAAGGAACCGCTCGACCAATTAGATTGCTGGAAACTCTTTGCTCAGCTCTGAAATTATACTAATAGTTATTATTAAAAACTGGATCATTCGATAATGCAATTCAAGACTTTTTATTGGCTTAGCCATTATGGTATATGAGCCAATATACCATAATCTAATATCTGTACATTATAACATCCGGTTTCTTCTTACAAAATAAAGACGAGAAGATTTGTCTAATATCTTGGGGGCATTTTTTTTTAATTAAATAATTATTTCACTCGTGCTTGTTGGATACGAGATGATTATAGCCAACTCGGCGCTACGCGCCTCGTTGGCTATCTATCATCTCATATCCAACGCGCGCTCGTGGTATAATTGTTAAATATTTTAGGAGAGAGTTGGGTTGGAGCTTAAACCTAGTAGGGGGCTTATATCCTATTGTTTTTGCTCTGGTACTGTTTATGTACAAATCCTTAGATAAATAATAAAATAATTAAATAATAAAATAATTAGAAAAAGGTATTCATCTCAGTCACTTTCATTTCCTTTGAAAATGTGTTGCTACTTCAACAGATTTCAATACTTTCTGGCGCTTGCCAGTTTGACTTGATACAAATGCGACACAAGCAGAATTTCGAGCTGTTAAGATAAACCTAGCCTGACGCTTTGATTGTACATAAAATCTTTCAAACGTAAATGAAAGTAAGAAGCCCTAAGAATAACCTTATAAAAAGGGTTGAAGTACCTTTTCTCCAGAGCCGAATATCAATCTGTCCTTCCCTGCATCAATCCAAAACAAACGCATCTCATTTTCTTTCAGCAAAGATGCAGTGGCGTTGAATTCCATCAGAGTTTCACCCTGGTTACCTTGTCTTTTCAAGACCACTTTCCCATTTGAATCAATCAAAATTCTATACCCAGAGCTTTGTTTACGTGAGTCACTTGTTAGAAGCACTGAGACGTCGTCCTTAGCATCGATCATGAGAGGAAACTGGGTTCGATGTAAACGATAGCGCTCAGACTGACCACCGCTTGAAAGCTGGGTATGGTCACATATGGTTTCTGAAAAAAGAAAGATCAATTTTCGTTTACTTTAACATCTTTTGCGATGAGAATAGTTAGATGAAGTCAAAGTGGAAACGGTAAAAGTTATTCGCTGAATTACTCACAAAGTCTCTGCCCGAGCCCCCATGATTTTTTTCTTTCGCGTTTTTCATCAATCCAGTCCCGTAATTCAACGTAAGAGGATCAACAAGATCCTCTGTTCCATGAAATAATTCAACTGAACTTATTTATTATTCTGGACCAAAGTTTTTACCTTTTTATTCCACGATTAAATAATTTTATAGTTTTTTCCTATAACTTACTTTGTTTACACATGTCGTTGTAAAGCTCAATCTCTTCTATACCAACCCCACCGCTGCTTCCAAGCACCTTTTTAATTGTAAATTTAACCCAGCTTGTTCTACGAGCCAAGAAGTTAAACTCCTCGAAATCCGACGTGTTACCCGCCAGTGTAATCTGTAAAGTAAAACGGGAACAAGCTATATCATGACTGCTGGTATGATGACACTTTCATTTAGTACTTTAAACGTTATTACTTGATTTCAAGTGTGCTTCATCTTGCGCTTAGTCAGCGTTTCATGGAATTACGACATTAAGCCCTCTGTAGTAGCAATCTAAAATTCTCACTTTACCCGCTTCCACCTTCACTTAACACTCCCCACTCTACCCCTGGCTCAACCCCCCACTCTATTCCCCACCCTACACTCCTTACACCCCACCCACACCCCACTCCACCCCCAATCTTCTCCCTCAACTCTAACCTCACTGTACCCCCTCACTCTATCCTCCACTTTGCCTCCCACCCCAACATCCTGCCCTCTTTGTCTTCTTAGGCATGCACTTTTGTAAATGTTAACGAAACTATTATTTTTGTCAGGCCCAATCGCCCATCACTCCCTAAATGGGGAAGAAAATAAAATAATTTCACAAATTTAACCCCAATTAATGGAAGGAAACCAATGAATACGCACCGTTTCCAGTGAACAGTCACTAAACTCCAACCACATCTCTTGGATTTGCTGTCCAGAGCTAGTTTTCGGCATAATCCGTAGCTTATTAATGATGAAGGTTGTGTGAAAGCCGATTTGTATGAACGAATTGATGGCCTCATTTGATCCTGATTCCCAGCCGACAGTTGTATCCCCATCGAGAACGTTTTCGCAACCTTTCGAGTTCCCGCTGCTCGAGGACTGATTTAAACAGCCTCCTCCATAATTCTTTGACGCCACGTTGAAGGTTGTGCAGGTTGTAGAATCTTGAAATAAAAGGAAATAAGATCGATAGTTAATTCCTTTATAACGAAGACAAGGCTATTGGTAAGAAAGATGTCTTAGCACTTTGCCCCCAAAGAGTGACTAGCATCTAATTTCTCCTTACCCCTCCCCCCATGTTCCTCAACCCTTTGCCCCCTAAGAGTGATTAGCATCTAATTTCTCCTTACCCCCTCCCCCCATGTTCCTCAACTCTTTGACCCCTAAGAGTTACTAGCATCTAATTTCTCCTTACCCCCTCCCCCCATGTTCCTCAACTCTTTGACCCCTAAGAGTTACTAGCATCTGATTTCTTCTTACCATATCACCCCTGAATCAAACAGTAAGGTCACCAGAATAAAGGAAATATAG